GTCTTCAGAGGTGGCCACTTTTCGGCGGTGGTTAATGCCTTATTGTAGCACTCCCTAGAGTCTTTCCGCAAGCTCCTGACTACTTCGATTCCATTCGGAATAGGGAACTTCATTTCCTGGTAGTGAACTGAGGTGACAACATTTCAGTCGTTTAAGAGTGGCCTCCCTAGAACGACATTATAAATGGTTAGGCAGTCAACCACCAAGACTCCTACCATTACTATCACTATTTGTGGCTTTTCCCCAAGAGTTATTGGTAGGCTTATTGTTCCCTTGGGGACTAGGTTGTCTTTGGTAAATCCATACAGTGGTGTCAAGCATGGCTTCAGATTCCACTCGGTGAACCTCATTTCTTGGAAGGCCCCTAAGTAGATAATGTTGACCGCATTGCAATTGTCAACTATTTTCTAGAACACCTGGCTATTGCCAATCCTCCTCGTGATTACGATCGCATCACGGTTAGGGCGAGGTAACAGGTCGCCTTTTTCTTTTGTGAAGCCTATTACTTCACTTTTAACGGCCTTGCTTCGAAACTCATAACTCGGGAAACCGAGTTTGTTCTGGCTTCTCGCGCATACTATTCATGAGCGTGTTTGGAGTTTCCTATAATGTTGGGTCCCCTATAAATCATTCTTACCATGATGTCATCAAGCTGTGGGGACTACTGGTGTTGATTGTTCTAGACTTTCTGCTTTTAACGAGCTTGGTTTCCCTTCACAAACTCTTTTAGATGACCTCTCCTTATTAGGTCTTCGATTGCATCCTTCAAGGCTCGGCAATCATTTATGTTATGCCCAATATCTTTGTGTAATCTGCAATATTTCTGCCGATCCCTTCTGTTTTATGCCCTTTTCATTTTCTCTGGGGAGGCAATCTTCTATCCTCGCGAGAGACCTCATAAATTCGAGCTACATCCTCTACCAAAGGAGTATACTCTACAAATTGAGGAAAAAGGCTCTTTTTCCCAGCGAAAATTTGTTCGTTGCCTTTTCTGGAACCTACTTCAATCCCTGTCACCTCGATCTTGACCTCTTGTTTTGTTGATTGAGCAATCTTGCTGCTGGTCGGAGGCTTTTTTCAAGCAGTTGCTGGCTAAGGCTGCCAGTGAACTCTCAACTCGCTGATGTTTGGCTGCCATTTGATAGAATTCAGCCAAACTCACATGATCTTTACTTTGGAGCTCTTTCCATAGTTCTGTTTGTAGCCTTATTCTGGCGATCAATAAGGCCTGGATCGATTCCTCTGGTGCATCCGCAACTTTGGATTGCTTTTTCTAGAACCTCATTAAATACGAAGTCAGAGATTCATCTTTTTCTTGATGAATTTTGCTTAGGTAGCTGAGAGCTATGGCGAACTATCTCCTTGCTTGGAATTGCTAGAGATACAACGAGGAGAACTACTACCATGACTGGATCGTGTTCACCTTAAGTCTTTTGTACCACCTCTTGGCTTCTCCTACTAAAGTTACTATGAAACAACAACACTTTGCCAAGTCGGAGACCTGATGCAATTCCATCAAATCATTGAAAGTGTCCAAGTGGTCTCTGAGATCTCCTTTCCCATCGAACTTATTCTTTGGTGCCTTAAATCCCTAGGGAAGTGGTGCCTGACGAACCTCCTCAAAGAATGGAGAACTTACTATCCCTTCCATCGTGTTATTTTGGCAGATTCTTAAATCATTGAGCATTCTTTGCACTTGATCTAACTCTACATTATTTGGAGGGTTCTGTACACAAGCTCTGTTCAGTCTCACCTTAAGCAGATGAGTTCTGAGATTGGTTGCTTACAAGCCGATTCTGTCTTGTGCGCTTGTGTATGAGTTGGAATCATGATAGCTGGGATAGTATGTACTATCGTGCTCCTCAGCTTCTTGCCTGCGACATTGGTTAAAATCAGAACGTTGGTTGTTATTATCAAATTGGTGTGCATGACTACTTTCGTGTGCCTACGAAGTATGAGCTTACCTTTGCCGTGGGTTAAAATCGGCATGTTGATGATAGGCATTTCATTGTTTCGGTTGAACATCCCCACGGTGACCGTTATTCTCGTTCTCCCCCATGGGCTTCTTGCCTGGTCGCCTTTCGGGATTAACTTGTTCCAGAGCTTCGCACTCATGAGTGGAATGTGCCCTTTCTCGTTGGGGATGACAGTTGCCCCTTGTTGCTGATGAACCAGATTGGTTGCTAACTGGCATATTCTGCTCGCTAGGGGTAAGCTTAGTGAAATATGGTTGGTCGAGATTCAGGTTGGTTTGCTACTCTTTTCTCAATTCCGCCACATTTTGTTGTACTACTTGTGCAACCAACAACCTTATCATATCCATCAGCTAACCATTCTTTGGGTTGGAGGTCCCTGCGACCTGTTGTGGTGGTGGCATTGGTGGTAGACGACCATGAGCAGCGGTCTGACTCACTTCTTGGTGGGTTGTGTCCACGTTATCGTGGTTTTCGGTGACTACCTTGGATCTTGTACGAGCCATAGGGAATTTCAGGTGAACAGTTGTCACTGAAATTGTCTTTTCCTGCTAGGAATAAGAGAGCTTGTCGGGGGCCCTCCTTTTAGCACCAAAATGTTGATACGAAAAATCACACCAACCAGAGAGATCCGATCGACTGTGATGGAATCAGAACGGGTGTGTGTGTGATTAACTGAAATCAGCAATGAGTAATGATAATAATGAACACAAAAGAATTTTTAAAGTGGTTCGGCAAGTTAAATCTTGAGCTTATGTCCACTTTTTTTCTTATTGAATATTGAAATTACAAAGAGAAGTAATTTCAGCCTAAAACAATTTGCCAACCTTTTCTCATTGTTTTTGGGGGTATTTATATATAAACTTTGCAAAGGAAAGTGAGATTAATTCGGGATTGCAATCAAACTTGGCATGCAATCCCGTGATTTCAGTGATTGTGCGCTAAGATTGCACTGTTATCAATGCAAATAATATCTCCTTCGAGATATAAAGGGATAAAGCTTATCCTCTGATCTATTGAACAACTATCAAGATTGGTTGCGACGAGCTTCTGTTGGGTCGGGCTTATTTGGGTCACACTGATTCTGGGTCGAACTACAATTCTGTGAGCTTTTGAGATCTCCAAGCTTCTGGAAAAATCACACACAACAGGAGCCACCATTTATGCCTCAAGATTTGCTGCTAATGCACTTCGTGCAATTCGCCGTAATGGTACTCGTAAGGCAAGGGTGCCGGAGAGGGTACCACCCATGCTGCTTCAGAAGCCAGCAGAGCTTGATTTTACAGCCGAAGAACAATAGGTAAATTGTCTTTAGCTATATGTATGGATAGTTTTGTTGTTGTATAAAAGAAAAAAATTGAATTGTTCAACCCGACAAAGAGGAAAAAACATTGCAGAACAGCACAGTTTATGTAAATTAGTTTGTATATGCAAAACTCTCGTCCTAGTGACGGTAGAGTTGTTGTTCTAGTTAAGTGATCAAATGCAGATAAACAATTAAAACTTTTGCTGAAGTGAGAATGATGAATGTCGCGTCTATAATGAGAATACAAAGAAAATCAAACCAAAAGAATCTCTACCCACAAGTGCTTCCGCTTTTAATTTGGTTGTGTTGTTGGTCCTATTTTGAAAAACACAACCAGTCACCTATCTTCATATTTTAATCTTCAGATACTTTCTTACTTTCATATATACGAGCTTTTTATAGGTGTTCAAAATCATAATCTGCTCAAGCTCGGTTACTTTATATTTATTTAGTAAAATTTCACTTGTACATACCAGCTAGAAAATCATCTTTGTGTGTTTGCTTTTTATGTTACCAGAGGTGGAAGGATGTCCTTATTAATTTACAGCAGTAAATCTTTATACTCAAACCAGTGAATCTCAGTCCAAGTAAATGGGAAGAAACCAAAGTGGACAGACAGGTCGGTCCAATAAAAAAGTTGAAAACTTTAGAGGAGTCTCACCAGTGCATCACCCTATTCCTATAAAATAAAAACAAAAAACTTTATGGATGCTTTCAAGCTTGGAGTATGAGCTCAATGCCTATTGCAGACAAAAATCATGGTACCACCTTGGAAGTGGAAGGCATTATCACTTGGCTTCAATATTATCCCTGTCAACCATTTTTTTTTTGGGGTAACGGAAGGTGTGCACGATTGATTCCATGTATCCAAACCTAAAACTTTATCTTTTTTCATTTAATGTTTACCCACACTTCTACCTTATAATATAACACAATGAAAGATCTTTGCTAGATATGGAGGATCGCAAAAAGTCTTATCAAATTCCCGTGTTTTGTACCAGAAATAATATATAATTCTCCCCTCCTCCCTGTTGCTTAGATAACAAGGAAGAATAATCATTTGAGACTTGGCTTTAATACTAGAATCTCACTGCTGTCCAATTATTATATCATCGCTTTGTTATCCCTTTAACTCACCACCACGCCACCTCCAAAATTCTCCATCTTAATTTCCATAAGCTCTGATTTTTGAAGGATGTTCCTGCACTTACATATAAACTTGCTTGATTGAACATTCAAGTAATTTACTATTTGAAATTTGAAATCGATTCCAGTCGTCGGGCTCCAATCTGGAGTAGCAAAAAGTTGTCTTCATCTTTTTGAAAAAAAACACATACTGGTGGAGAAATTAAAGCAACTAATTAGCATCTGATGCCATCCAGCTAATTGATCAATATTCGTTAAATCCCATTCGCCTAACCTGATTGCAGCACTATTTTTCAGACAAATTTGCGGATCAAAATCCAAAGACTTTCGCCTTCTTCATCATGTAAGTGATTCTACACAATAAGTTTTAGCAAGTCAGTGAAAGTCTTCGGTTTAGCTGTTTTTAAACTACTACTTTGTATTGTGCAGGTCGTCGGCTCAGCTTCAGGCCTTGAATGTAGAGGAAGGTAGGAAAGAAGATGAAATTCCAATTGAAGATCATGATCCTAAAGGGATTTGGAAACGCTTGAGTTTGAAAGTAGTAATTAAAAAATTTGACCTGGACTCTCGTTGGGGATACGGGACTTTTCTCACAGCTTATATGATTGTCATCTTCATGCATCCTTTGCATTACTACTCTTATGTGATCAATCCCCAACAAAATTGCCTTGAAATCGACAATGAATTGTACGCCACGTTTGCCGTCGTCGCCTTCTTCAATACTTACATGCTTCTATACGTTCCAAATGTCATCAGAAAAATCTTTGCGGGAACTATTACTAAAGAGAAGGGGATAGAACATTTCATGTTTACTCAAGTACCCGTCTTGTTGATGACATTGGTAAGCTCAAATCTTTCACGATTTCGTTTCTTAATGAATAATTTCAGATTCTGGCTAAACTTTGTGCTGTAATCTATGCAGACTATACTTCCAGATTTGACAAGGGGAACAACAGACAGGATTTTCTTGACTACAACGAACTTGTTTCTTTTCGGATACATGCTTCTGGTTATTGGACTCTCGATAACTATTAGAAATGCCTCCAAGCGTACAGGTTTCATTGCTGAAGCCAAATGAGCAAAAGCAGTGTTCAATCTTTTCCTTTACTTGCATGGAGGTCATGTAAGTTTTAATTCAAATTCAATCATCCCTTATTTGTTGTAATTGATGAATAAATTCTGACTTTCTGGTTCTGAATTTAGGTATTTGGAGCAATTTGGTACTGTTTTGCCATCGACAGAGTTCTCGTATGTTGGAGGGATGAGTATATTTTCAAGAATACATTGAAATTTGGTTCTTTTGTTTGTGGTAATCAGAATTTAGAGAAGCTAAGTTGTCTTAGAACGGCACAAGCTGGTGGAAATAATACAGATTTTGGAATATTCAAGGATGCTCTTCAATATAGAATTGTGGAAATGAAATCATTTCCGAAGAAATATTTATTCTGTTTACGATGGGGTCTGCAAGTTCTCAGGTTTGTGCGTATCTTTTAAACTAAATTGATATGTGGAGTGTGGACTACATTATTTATTTATTTATTTTTGCAGTTGTTTCGGTCAAAATCTTGAAGCAAGTACTTTTCCGTTGGAAAATATCTATGTGATTTCTGTAATCATCTATTCCACCCTACTATTTGTGTTTTTAATTGGAAATATGCAGGTTGGTAAATGTTCTATTTATCTCAATATCCTTATGATTAAGCACATTAAATTTAATTTCTATATACGAATAATGCTTCCTGTGAAACAGACATATCTGCAATCCGAAAGCGAAAAACCAGAGGATATCATAAAAAACGTGAAGATGGAAGAACGCTTAGAATGGTTGAAGAAAGTGAGTACCTTTCTTTTTAGCCTCCTTCAACTCCAAATTTTTACTGAATTATTCTCATAGAACACAGACATTTAGAAAATCTTATAGAGCAACTCTATTGACTTTAAGGCAAAATAATTTAGCATTTGATTTGAATCCACAAGCATTGGTTGGATGTTGGATGTATTCTCATTCTTCTTAAATGCATATCAAGGTAGAAGATTTGGGAAATTGGGAAGTAGCATTATTGAAAGAGCTGTGTTCTCGTATCAAGCCAGCTTTCTATGGTGACCGAACTCTCATAGTCCGGGAGGGGGAACCGATTAGTGAAATTCTCTTTGTGCTGCAAGGTAAACTATGGGCATACACCTCCAGTGGCCCTGATCATAGCAGTAGCCAAGATATTCATTTGGGAGATGGTGATATCATTGGGGCATACACCTCCAGTGGCCCTGATCATAGCAGTAGCCAAGATATTCATTTGGGAGATGGTGATATCATTGGGAAAGAACTTGTCAGTTGGATTCAGGCTCAGCCTCATTCATCCCGCCTCCCAATCTCAAGCAGAACTGTTCAAACGCTAAAGCGTGTGGAAGCCTTCGCTATTACGGCCTATGACTTGAAAGACGTGTTCATTAATAAGCCAGAACCACCACCAAGGAAAACCCTGAGATCAATCCTGATGAACATTAGATTTATCAGATGTATCCATTCACAACTTATCAGGTATGAGATATGAAACATTCCACAACCAATCTTGTACATTCAACTAATCTTTCCCATTAAAATATATAAAATTGAATTTCTCATTTTCATTTTAAGTTTATTATTTTCTGAAAACAGAAACAGAGAAATTCTTTGAACGCTTCCAAGCTTGGACTATATATGAGCTCAAAACAGAGACAATAATTCATAGCCCGATCCAAACAAATCATGGTACAGCTTTGGAATTGGAAGGCGTTATCACTTGGCTTCTATGTAGCCAGGGCATATTTTGATCTAAACTTTCCTTTTTGGTATATATAATTATGGCTTGTGATACACAGTAAAGCTTTATATATCTTTTCTATTTATTCTTCCTCATTTGTAAATTATAGAAGAACAGACCTTCAATAAAGTCAAGGAGATGTAACTTTACCAAAAAATTCATCTCTATGATCGAGACAATTGAAGATTTCTAAATTAATTCAAGTTGTCTCCATCTTTTTTTACTGTTATTTTCAGAACATGATATAAAATCCCACATATCTTCAAATGTTGATACGAAAATCGCACTAACCTGAGAGAACCAATTGACCTTGACGGGATCGAAACTGATGTGTGCATGATTTAAGATAAACTAACAATGTAATGTCAAGGTGCGTTAAAATAAAGAACACAAAAGGATTTTTAAAGTGGTTCGGCAAGTTAGAACTTGAGTCTACGTTTATTGTTATCTTATTGCTTTAAAGAGCTTACAATAACGAATATATTATGCCTAAACAAATTTTCTAACCCCTCTCTCATTGTTTGAGAGGGTTTTTATACAAGTTGTGATAAAAGGAAAGAGAGATAAGTTCAGGATTGCAATCAGAGTTGATTTGCAATCTCTTGATCTTTGCAATCGAGCACTGTAATTGTGCTGCCAGTGGTGTTGATCTTATCCCTTCCGAAATATCCAAGATTGAAGTTTATCTCTGACTTTATTGAACAACAGTTAGGATTGGTTGCTATGACAAACTTCGATTGGGTTGAGCTTACTTTGAATCGAATTGATTCTCGGTCGAGCTTGCTCTTGGGTTGAGCTGATTCTGGGTCGAACTTGCTCTCTGCGAGCTTCTAAGATTTGAGAGCTTTATGGAAAAATCACACACAACATCTGCCCCCTAGTGTTCGGAGGTTGTATCGAGCTTTGAAGACTAAAGTTGCTTGATTTGCCACTTAGATCGAACTCCTTCATTCCGATGTAACTCGCACACTGATCGCTGAGTTTATCCGAGCTTCAGCACTCAACCTTAGCTTCACCTGACGTACCTGAGACTTGGCCTCTTGTTGCAATGCTGTTGAATTTGAAATTTGAAATGAGGTGCACAAGGGTAATTTCGAACCTGACATGTCACATTAAATGCAGATGACTTTTGGCAATTACTTTTCGTCGCGCGTGGACTATTATAGCTAGCCATGCATGGAAGCGAAAAGATGTGTGTTGCTACTCGCGGAGTCGAAGTGACATGTGCCGATGGTTATCATTGCTCGATTCGACAGTTGATCGCCCTTCCTAGATCGTTGCCACCTATACCCATTGATTGGTCAGGATTGCTTGGCTAATGGAAGGTTGAGATTCGTTGCAAATAAATGGCCTAGATTGAATCTCATTGTTTTGGTTTCCCGCTCGCCACTATAAAATGAGCTTTTGCCTTTAATCTCTCGTTTTTGTAATCTTGAGTGCCTTTTCACTTCACTTACTTCTTCCTTTCTCTACTAACATTGTGTTTTGATTTCACGGTGACTCTCCGGTGAAACTTTCCATCACCTGCATTCCAGTAAGTTCTCTTTATACCCACTTTTTATTTTTTTGAAGTTTTTACTGTTGGGGTGGCTGTTATCACAGCCAAGTTAATTCTTTTGGGTTTTTAAAAACCTCTAACCCCAGGTTTAAGAGCGTCTTGATGACGGCTGCCGGAATCCTTTGCTGAAATTCTCCATTGATTGCTGTGAATCTTGATAGCTTGCTCGTGTTTCTTTTTGTGTGAGCTTTCTAGATGCCTAAACTGCAGGCAAGTGTGGATACGTCGCTTGTTCTCTAACATTTGACACTTGTTTTCTTGTTTCAGGTATCCACAAGCGAGCTTAGTCAGAAATCTCTTCCTGTGACGTTAGTAGTGAAGAGTTGTTCGGAGAGGGCTCCCCATCAACTTTGGTTGGTAGCGGGGAGAGAGCTTAGGATGAGCTCATTGCCGTGGCTCTTGAGCGGAACGTGAGCAGTGGGGTTGAGAACTTGCTAAACCAAGGTGAGAAAAACCCTAGCGCTAGCCCCCTACGTCAAACTAGGTTTAGGAAAGATTAGACCTCCTTGATCACTGAGGTTGACCTAAGGCGGATAAGGGAGAGTTATGCGATCTCGCATGAATATCATATTCTTGCTCCAGGAGATACTTTGCGAAAGTATCCCCCCGCAGGTTGTGTGGTGATCTCCGAAACTCTCCTAAGGTGTGGTATGTCAATCCCACCTCGCCAATTCATCTTCGACGTTATAGATCGCTTTAACGTCGCTCCCCTTTAGTTGACGGGGAACTCTTATATAATAATGGTAGGAATGTACATTGCCTATGCATTAGAAAAGATTGGCGAGCTATTTGTAGAGGAGCTCATCCACCTGTATAGATTGAAGAAAGGCCAGGGTGACACTTTCTATCTTTCCAAAGCGAGGACGGCCCATTTGGATGGGTTGATCAACGTCCCCAAGAAGCTCGAAAACTATGATTCCGAGTATTTATTCTATCGCTTTGGGGGCGATGGTGCTTTTGCCAATGAAGCCGATGGGTATTCTTGAATGTTGTTCTTTTTTTTTTTTTTTCTTTTTTTTTTTTTGTAATGTTCACAAATCAATCAATGAAAAGAAAAAACTGTTCGATCACATTCTTTGATATTTCATTTACTGCTTTTATAATTCTTTCTACAAAGTCATAGTAGTTTGTCTTATCAAACTTAGTTGACAAAGTCGAATTTCGCTCTTAAGTTGTGCGTTGTCTGCTTTCTTAAGGACTTTTTGACCAGACCTTGAGAGTCTTTTCTCACGACGATGTCAAGTTAGGGTTAGTTGCCTGTCTCGAGTCTTAGTAGATAAGTTATATTACGTCTCTCATTGACGTGCTTTTCTCAGTTGTTTTCTGAGTTGCTTTTCGTCAAGACAAGGAATACACCCTTGAGCTCGAATTATGGCTTGGCTAGATAAATAGGCCATTTTTTGAGCTTCAGACTTCAAGTTTCTCTAGCAATGATCTTTCTGATTGCGATCTTAATGGACATGTAGGAATACAAAAAATATACCGAATATTACTTATCATATATCAAAAAATTTATCAACCATAGATGGCCTTACAACTCATGCCAAGTAAAATTAAAAGCTTAACATTAACAAACTGAAACCTGAGCTATTTACTGATAATACCTCTGCAGGTGCTCGACATTCTATGCTCACAAAACGGCAGCGCTGTTTAGATATTCCAAGTGCAAAGTTCATGGTACGAGCTTCTTTGAGATCCAGAAGGGACCTTCCCACTTAGGTCCAAGTGTCCCCTAGTTTGTATTCTGTGCTCCGGGAACGATCTTCCTTAGGACTAGATCGCCTACCCTAAAGCCCCAGTTCTTAACTTTTGAGTTGAAGTATCTCTTCACTCGTTATTGGTATAAGGCTATTCTTGGCTGAGACTTAGCCCGAAGTTCCTCCATCAAGTCTAACTTTAGAAGAAGCAGATCCTTGTTTGATTCTTTGTCAAAGACCTCTCATCGAAACAAGCTAATCTGAATCTCTACTGGGGCCATTGCCTCGCATCCATAAGCAAGCAAGAACAAGGTCTCTCCTGTTGAGCTTCTGGTCGTGGTTTGTACGACCATAGTGCTTCGGGTATCTCGTCAGCCCATTTTCCTTTGAGGTGATCGAGCTTTTTCTTTAAGGTGTGCTTGATGACATTGTTTACTGCTTTGACCTATTTGTTGGCTTGAGGTCAATAGATGGCAGAAAAGCTTTTTTTGATGTCGAGCCTCTCACAAAATGACTGGAAATCTTCGCAGTTGAACTGTTTTCCATTATTAGTGATAATGGTGTGAGGGATTTTGAACCTAAAGATGGTGCTTTTGTACCTAAAGATGGTGCTTTTGTAGAAAAAATGCTTTAGCTTGTTCGATGTTATTGTTGCCAAAGGCTCGGCTTCTGCCCACTTGGTGAAATAGTCCATGACGATCATAGCCTAGATTGCAAATGGCACAAACTTTACATCTCCCTTTCCTTGAGGTAACGGGCCTATTAGATCGATCCCCCAAATTGCAAATGGCCACGGGCTTGTCAAAGTTGTTAATTCTTGAGGTGGAGCTTGCGAAACATCTACGAACCTTTGATACCTGTCACACTTTCGCGTAAAGTTGGCTGTATCATCAAAGACTATTAGCCAATAGTATCCCTGGCAAAGTACCTTATACGCCAAAGATCGGTCCCCAGTGTGGTTTTCACAGATTCCATTGTGAATTTCCCTCAGAATGTACTCCGCGTCCTCATGATCTACACACACGTTTATACAACCTTTCGTTGATAAGCGTATTGATTTTGCTCGAAGGGTTTTAGCTTTATTTGTTCCCTCAAGGATTGTTCCATCTCTTAAGTATGCTGATATTGAGTCTATCCAGCTATATCTTTGCCCTATTGCCAAGACCGTTTCTTTAGATGCGAGGATGCTTGGACTTGACAGAAATTTAACTAGGATGGAGTCCATAGTTTCTTTGCTCATCGCCGAGGCCTGGCGAGCTAAAGCATCAGCTATTGAATTTTATTCCTTGGGAATCTACTACACTGTATAAACTTTGGAATGCTTAAGCTTAGATTTTACCTTCTGGATATAGGATGCCATTTTGTCCTCTTTGGCTTGGTATTCCCCAGAGACTTGATGGACGATGAGCTAAGAATCACTGTAGATTCTGATCGATTATGCCCCTATTTCTTTGGCCAGGCAGACTCCCGTGAGCATGGCCTCATATTCTACCTCATTGTTCAAGGTGGCAAAATCGAACCTAATTGCAACCTGGATTTGATCCCCTTCAGGACCTTCAAGCAAGAGCCTGTCCCCCGACCCCTTTCATTTGAGGACCCATCTATATACAAAGTCCATTGCCACAAGCTGTTGAGCTTGTATTCCACTGAACTGTTTTCTTCCGAAGTGCTTGCTTCAGGCGAGCTTGACTCCTCTTTAGGTTGATATGAGAGCTCTG